CCCCTGCATCGGCAGGCGGACTCCCAACCACTGCGCCATCAGGGAAGCCCGGCAATACTTTTTAAAGATAAATTTCAGATAAGTTCATACTTTATCCCATAATGCCCATACCCTATTTTTCCCATAATACACACATTCAGAATAACAGCAGATTTGGAATTGCAATAGCCACACTATCACCAATAATGTAATTACTAAAAACAGTTTAAGAATTTTTTTGCAATTCTTTTTGAAATAGAGTACATACTATTAGGACGGAACAACCAAATTACTGTTTTAAAGTCACTTGGAATAAGTCTTCTTATTCCATGGATGTATGCCAATCCATTCAGCTGGTCCCCTATGGATGGACAGCTGAGTTGTTTCAGTATTTTGCCATTTCAAATAGCGCTGCAATGAATCACTTCGTGCATTCTGCTTTTGCCAGTCTACCTTTGGGAAAGATTACTGGAGGTGGGACTGCTAAGTCAAAGAAAAAATGCACATGTGATTTTATTATTAGATATTGCCCATTTCCTTTCATAGGAGTTGAGCTATTTTATATTCCAGCCAGTACACGTACGAGAATGTCTCTTTTCCTGCAGATTCATGACAGTGTATGTTTTCAAACATCTGGATGTTTGCCCATCTCACAGGTAAGATACTATAGTCTATTGTAGTTTTACTTTATGTTTTTATTATTATGAGCGATGCCGATTATCTTTTCATATAGCTAGGAGCTATGTGCATTTCTTTTTCTAAGAACTGTCTGTTCAAATTCCTAGTCCATTTTTCTGTTAACAGTGGTTTCACAAGTGTGATCTCTAGACCAGCAGGATCTGCAGCGCCACCTGGGGATCAATAGAAATGCGAATCCTCAGGCCCCACCTCAGACCTACTAATGAGACGCTAGGATGAGGCCCAGTAATCAGTGTTTTAACAACCACTTCAGGTGATTCTGATGCACTAAAATTTGACAAACACTGGTCTATAGGACTGATTCAACAACTGTATTTTAACTCAGTGCAGGCTTGTCTAGTTATTTTCTACTTAAACCAAGGGCAAACTGTTAAACTGGAACCAAGAGTCAAAGGCCATGGGACATTCATTCATTGATTCGTTGATGTATCCAACCATTAACAAATAGATGCTATGCTAAGTAGCCACTGCGTGTCAGTCACTGGGGACACTGCAGCAGCGGGGATACTGTGCTAAATAAAACGGACAAGTCACCGTCCCCAGGAGCTTTTCCTCCACTGAGGAAGAGCAAAACCAAACAAGTCAATTTAAGTCTTACCAAAGGGGATTACAAGGTGGTATTCCATTGAAGGGCAAGTGGTCAGGGAAATACAAATTTAAAATAACACTTCCACCAAATGGACAAAAAAATTTTTAAATGCTATCCTTAGCAGGGATATGGGTGGAAATGTGAAACACTGCAGCCTCTTTGAAAAGGAATCTAATCATATCTATTAATGCGTCAAACACAGCCATCCCACTGCTGGGGATCAATCCCGTAGAAAGAATGCCACCAAGGACATGTACTGCAGCATTGTTTATAGCAGCAAACACCAGTTACAAAGTGAATGTCCACCAGTGGGGGAATGGTTCAACAGATCATGGTATATCCACACCAGGCAGCCATTGAAAAATGAGCCATACACTGACTTGAGAGCAGCTCTGTGACATATTTTGAGTAAGGAAAGTAACATGTAGAAAAATGGGTACAATCCAATCTTACTTTTAGGAACTCACGCGAGCCCATCTGTGTGTATACGTATATGCATTGGTACATGAGTATAAGAGCACAGAAGAATAACCTGGAGCAATGAATAGCCATAGGGGTGAGCCATCTACTGTGGATTCAGGCTCAACATCCAAGCTTCCTTCCTCTTAGTGTGTCTTCCTACAGCACGGAAGATGGAAAGCTAAGCCACATGCCGCGTGCTTGGACATCCCGCGGGCAAACCTGCACGCTTGCGATCTGGGAGGAGAAGGCGGGGCGGGGGCCGCACCGGGCTGCTTCAGCTGCTGACCAGCACCTTCATTTGTCACACCTTTGCGTCAGCTGAATTCCCTGTGTCCCTCACTAGCTTCCTGGGTGTGGAGGCACAGGGCTCGGGGCATCGGCTTTGCTGGTCTGGATAGAGCAGGCGCGGCGTGAGCTCGGGAGCAAGGCTTTCTGCGGTAGCCGCTGGTCCCTGCATCCCAGCATGGGTGGTGCGGGCCTGGGACCAGCAGGGGGATGGAGCCCCTGAATCCCTGTAGAGGCAGCAGTTTCCCCCAGGGATCAGGGACTCACTCCCGGGGGCATAGTCTGCAGCTCGCTCCTACTGGCCTTCCAGTGATTTCATCAGCACCTGCTTCCCTGAACCAAATTTGCCTAAAACAGCTTGATCCTCTTTTTCTTTGCAATGAAAACTGTGTGGTCTGATGGGTTACCAGTCACAGAGAGGAGTGAGAGGGAGTTGTGAGAATTTAAACATAGGAATATATGAAAGTGTCTTGAAACTTGTGGTAGTACCATTAGTATTAATTTTAAACGCCATCTGAAACTCATCTGTCATCCCATCTAAACAAATGATTTACCCAAGGACTTTCAAAAGACTTTAACGCACAAGAGGCTCTCCACTGCGGAGCTTCTCCACAGCGCAAGGCTTACCCGCCGGTGTGGTCGTGGATTTTGGTGCCGGAAGCAAACTCCTGCGAGGTGTTGTCACACTGGAGGATGCTGGAGGGGCCACCCGGGCAGCCCCTTTGGGTGTGTCCTTGGAAGGCAGAGCTGCCTTCAGAGCCGGCTGGTCTTCAGTCCCAAAGGTTGAACCTGTGGAAGCGTACAAGTTCATGAAAAATGGATGGACCCCCTTGCCGTGTGCCATTGCCGACCATCCTACCGCTGCCACCTGCTTTAGAACTTGACCCGACTCCTAGTGAGTGGCCTTGAAAAGCATTTTTCTGGGACCAGATGTGGAAAAGAGCTCCCTTTAGCCACCGCAGGGAAGTCTGTCATTCAAATCCCCATGCCAGGGGCTCCACAAAAGCCAAGAGCAGCCTCACTTCTCTGAAGATTTTACACACGTGCTCACGCACACACAATTTGCTTGTGTGGATGTGTAGCTGCAGACACATATGGTAAGCATTTATTTTGTAACTCACAGAGGATGAGCAACAGTGAGAAACAGTGTGAGTGACCCAGGGGAGACGAGAGTAAGAATGCACATGTGCTCCACTGGTCCAGGAAGTGTATTCAGGGCTCCCTGAAACCCAGCTGATTTTACCTTGAGAAGAAGAGGCTTGGGATAAAGGTAGATGGGTGAGAATATGGAGACAGAGAATCCCTTTGAAACTCATGAAGCTTTTGGTCTGAAAAGCTGAGGCCTCACCAAACTAAGAGGACCTTGCATTAGAGTCCAGTTTACTGCAAAGGCAGATATTTATTGATCATTTCAGTTTCCCATTCAACACAGAACAGGCTCTGCGTCTACAGGACAGCTTGTTTACAATGGACTGCTCTGAAGATAGGGCATATACTGGGATTTGTGTCAGATTTAAATGCCCGGAATGGCTGTGGTCTAATTTTTTCCTCTATATCTTTTCAAACCTATTATGGTTTATACATTTGTAATCGCTTAAAGACAATGACACCACCATCTATTCCTATTAAAGGATAAATCTTCTAAATGTACCTCTGGGTACAGCTGCAAGGACTAATCTACTAAATTAAACAGAGAGCCTGAATATACTGAGATTACCGCTTGTTGGGGATAAAACTCTCCAGTTAGGAACATGACCATCTACTGTGGAAAACAGGCAATGGTAGGTGGAAGAAGTATACAGAATTTTAGTGAAAGATTAAATTGTTTTGTTTTCATCATTTTAAAAGGATAGTCATAACATTCTATTTAGATAGGGCCTGCATCAAAATGATAACATTATTAAATGGCTTTAGTGTTAAAATATTCAGGAGTTTTATTCAACCCCTTAGAGTAAGAGATGGCTGCTCTCGTCCCTCTGAAAGTCTGTTTAAAATGGGTAAGATTTGTTTGGTTTCTAAAGAAAAGTGTATTTAGGAAGGAAAAATAAAGAACGTGTGATTTCCTAACAGAGAACCTATGCCCTATAGTTCTTTGAAGGTCCCGTGCAAGGTTTTAAATACTTTGAAACAGGGCTAGGAGAATGCATTTGATCCACACAAACAGAATAAAAATAATGCAACTCCACTGAAAGGAAGTACACTGCATCCTGAATTTCAGATTAAAAAGTAAGCACAGGACAGCCATATGCAGAAAAATGAAACGACCACTATCTCACACAGTACACAAAAATTAACTCAAAATGGATTAAAGACTTGAATGTAAGACCTGAAACCATAAAACTCCTAAAAGAAAACACAGGCAGTACACTCTTTGACATTGGTCTTAGCAATATCTTTCTAGATGTGTCTCTTCAGGCAAAAGAAGCAAAAGCAAACATAAACAAGCGGGATTATAGAAAACTAAAAAGCTTCTGTATAGCAAAGGAAACCATCGACAAAATCAGGGGACAACCTGCCAAATGGGAGAAGATATTTGCAAATAATATATCTGATAATGGGTTAATATCCAAAATATATAAAGAATTCATACAACTCAACAACAAAAACCCAAACAACCATATTAAAAAATGGGCAGAGGAGCTGAATTGACATTTTTCCAAATAAGACATATAGATGGCCAACAGGCACATGAAAAGATGTCCAACATCACTAAATTATTAGGGAAATGCAAATTAAAACCATGAGACATCACCTCACAACTGTCAGAATGGCTGTTATCAATAAGACAAGAGGTAACAAGTGTTGGGGAGTAAGTGGAGAAAAGGGAACCGCCAGGCACCGCTGGTGGGAGTGGAAATCGAGGCAGCTACTATGGAAGATAGTATGGAGGTTCCTCAAAAAGTTAACGATAGAACTACCATTTGATCCAGCAACTCCACTTCTGGGTATTTGTCCAAAGAAAACAAAAACACTAATCCAAAAAGATACCTGCACCCCCATGTTCACTGCAGCACTATTCACAATAACCAAGATACGGAAACAACCTAAATGCCCATCAGTGGATGAATGGACAAAGAAGATGTGCTACATAAACACATACCTAGGGCTTCCCTGGTGGTGCAGTGGTTGAGAGTCCGCCTGCCGATGCAGGGGACGTGGGTTCGCGCCCCGGTCCGGGAAGATCCCACATGCCGTGGAGCGGCTGGGCCCGTGAGCCATGGCCGCTGAGCCTGCGCGTCCGGAGCCTGTGCTCCACAACGGGAGAGGCCACAACAGTGAGAGGCCCATGTACAGCAAAAAAAACCACAAAAAAAACCACACATACCTACACACACACAATGTAATACTACCCAGCCATAAAAAAGATAAAATATTGCCATTTGAGACAACATGGATATACCTCAAGGGGATTACGCTAAGTGAAATAAGTCAGACAAAGAAAAACACTGTATGATTTCACTCATATGTGAAATTATAAAAAGCAAATACCCCCCAAGCCAAAATAAATGAAAAAACTAAACCAAACAAACAAACACATAGACACAGAGAACAGCGGTTCCCATAGGAGAGGGCTCCGGGTTGGGGGCTGGCGGCAGGAGGGTGAAATGGGGAAAAGGGATCAACTGTATGGTGATGGATGGAAACGAAAATTTTGGTGGTGAGAACGTTGTAGGGTATACAGAGGTAGAAATATAATGGTGCACACATGAAACCTATATGTTATAAATCAATGTTACCTCAACAGGAAAATAAAGTAAGCACGTGTTTGATCGAAACCTCATGAAGAAAAGGGACACCGAGCACCTGCAAAACAGTGAGTCTTAGCTTCTGAATCATAGCACAGGCTCACCAGTCCCATCCTAGGACTCAGAGAATCTCTGGGGGTTGTAGGACATTTTTGCGGGGGGGGGATGGCAATGGCTCGGCCACTAGAAATATTTCACATGGAATTATCTAATGTTCAGCCTCCTGCTGACACACTGCCAGAATAATCTATTCACTGAAATGTGTAGTGGAAGTTGAACTGAACATAAAATCTTCCACACAGAGCCTTTTATTTAACAATTTATTAAAGTTTCTCAAGAAGGCGAATATTTTGTATCATTTGTGGAGTTCAAATGCTCTTTTATCAAATCCTCTTGTGCCTGGCATTATTCTCTTACATGAAATTTATAATCCAGTGAACATGTCAATTTGGAGCTCCGGCTGCTCTCCAGGCTGGGAAGTAATTCATCTGTTTGAAGTAGGAAGAGTATCAAGGAAGCTCTGCACTCCCCTCTGAGAGAGGCCTTGAATTACCAAAAAATAAAACAAGACAAAATAATACAATACAACTGAACGCTGCTCTTGTCCCTTCCTGTGGGAGACAGCTTGGCAGTGAATAGTACCCCTCATTGAAAACCAGCTTAAGTCAGCCAGTACTTAAAGACACATGATTCAGAAAATGAAAAGTACTCTGAATTTGGAAATGGCTGCTGAATTCTGTAACTGCTCTGGGACTTCACAACAATGCAGACAACATCAAACCACTGCTTGGTAAGAGGAGAAAACAACCGGAAATAAACGGTGCCTGTGTGAGCCAGAAAGATGTTCTGGAAGATACAGCTAGTGAGAGTGGTCCACGCATCTAATCAGTCATCCCATTCCCAAAGAACCAGAACCTACTGTGTCCCAAACCATCCACATGATAAGTGGTGCGGACTCAGGGGAAAGACAACCAGGCCTCCTCTCCCTCCCACCTCTCTGCTCCTCTGTTTCTTCATCTGTATAAGTGACGATCACGATAACTGACTCCACAGAGCTGCTGTGAGAATTAAAAGAGCTAATGCGAGTGGATTTTTAAAAAGGTGATGCAAGAGTTAGTTCAAAAAAAAACATTTAGAGTGGTGTCCGGTGCATGGTATGCTCTTATGTGTTAGTTATGAACACTTACAGGTTAGCAACACAGCAAATGAGCTTTTCATAGGAACTTGGAAAGTATTCAAGGATTAATATCAGATCACATCACATCTGTGATGAACACTTACAGGTTAGCAACACAGCAAATGAGCTTTTCATAGGAACTTGGAAAGTATTCAAGGATTAATATCAGATCACATCACATCTGTGATGAACACTTACAGGTTAGCAACACAGCAAATGAGCTTTTCATAGGAACTTGGAAAGTATTCAAGGATTAATATCAGATCACATCACATCTGTGATGAACACTTACAGGTAAGCAACACAGCAAATGAGCTTTTCATAGGAACTTGGAAAGTATTCAAGGATTAATATCAGATCACATCACATCTGTGATGAACACTTACAGGTAAGCAACACAGCAAATGAGCTTTTCATAGGAACTTGGAAAGTATTCAAGGATTAATATCAGGTCACATCATCATCACCAAAGTATGAAGGGATTCCTCTGCTCATAAAAACCAAAGGACTACAGAGTCCTGCTTCACTGCCAGATAGGGGCCATCTCTTGTAGATACCCAAATCACATCACTGACTTGCTATTTGGAAAGTAAGATCTCCTTCATTAGAGTGTGAAAATTTGCAAGGCCTATATTCTGCATGGTTATAGAATTCAGCTGGGTCCATTTCTACACATAAACCTGATCTCTCTACCTTTTTCTCTTCAAACTGTCAGGACAACGATGCTTGTTCAGCACCAAATCCTAGGAGAAAACCAGTTTCTTATTCTTCCTCCAGGGACAGCTCCTACAGTTCATTCCCCACATGCTTGAACACCCTGAGCTGATCAATTGAGTCTTTCAAATTTTCACTGGCAGTTCCCTGGT